AGGGCTGGTCTAAAGCTGATGAAATTCACTCCTGTTCTTCCAAAATGGAGCGTCCTCATGCAGGGCAAGCTGGAAGTACAAATCAGTCCATGGTATCAAACTTGCAATTTTACATGGAGAAAAGCAGTGTGATTCTCCAACTAATGTTGAACTAGAGCTCCAATCAGCCGGAGCCAGCATGACTAATAGTTAAGGATTATTGGAACTGCAGTTGTCCATCCTTGCTGCACATATTTACCTAAATTATAAAAATCCTTTTTGTAAGATTCATTTTGGAGTAAACATGGCTATGTACTAGCCACACACCTACTAGCAACAATCAGTAACTGAATTAATCACAGGACACAGTCCTGTTTATAGACAGTATTTAATCAGATGTTTTGCTGAATAGGTAATAGTTTACATTTTAAAAAGAATACAGGGGCTAATAACATTGCAGGGAAATAATAACATAGCTGGGAAATAAGATTCCCAATTAATTGCTTAAGCTGAAAGAACATATAAAATACTAGATTCCCCACTGCCAGCAGCTGCGAGATGCCTGGGGAGAAATACAAAGGGTGTTAAAATGATTTTTTTTTGTTTCGCACTAGAGAAAAACATCACAATCTGTCAGGGGTTATTCCAAATAAGTGAACTTTTTATGGGGAAAAAAAAGTATAAAAATAAGATCAAGCTCAAAGTTACCAGGTAGTTGAACTGCTGTTTTGTGGAGAATCTGAAGCAGCTCTTTATTTGCATATATACAAAGAAAAAAATAATTCAGGACAGTAAAGTCAGAAACTATTCCATAATGATTTTTGAATGAAAAATTGTGAGTGTCAACTGGAAAAATAGTGGGTGCCTCAGCACAGAGTGGTGTATGGGACACACCCAAATGTTCTCATTTCAACAATCAGAAATAAACCTTTGCACTTTAAAAAAAATTCATTTAAATTATGCTATTACGTTTCCATTAAGGTCAGGTGTAGACTTCAGTTTGAAAAGCAATAAAATATGACAGCAATCAATAGTTGGCAAGTAGAACAAGCAGACATCAGATTCTCTTATTTCCTAAGTGGATGGATGGAAGGGGCATGCATTGTATGGTAGCAGATATGACAGTTTACTGCAAAACTCTGCAAAGTTTCCATTGTATGAACAAATAAAATATAATTTGGCTTTTGAATGTGCTTGATGATTTCATCAAATCCTGTGGTCATCATATTTGCCAGAAGCAAGACTAGAGGTAAAGATAACACTTTGAACTACATAAAAGATTATAGCAAATGAGCTGCCATAACTGGTGGTATTCCAAAATTGGGGGTTTGTTTATTTGCCAGATGCATGAACATTTAGAAAATTATTGACTTAGTGTACTTAATTAGCACATTTGTGAGCAAACATTTCTACTTTCTTCTCAAGATTTTTAACTACAATAGAATATTTGTCATGCAAAGGAGTTTTCATAGTTGTCTATATGGTGCACCTGTATTAAAGAACAAGAAGACTGAAGCTACTGGAGGAAAACTAGCAATGCAATTAAAGAGAGGATCTCCAAAATATATAATGTAGAAAAAGCTAGGAGCACAAAAGTGCAAATAAATCTAAACTGTCTAGAGAAGGGCTATTTATGAAGTTTATCAATTGTGTGGATAGCGGATACAGGAGGGAGCTCCCAAAACAGTTAATAAATTGCAAGAAGTTCTGTAAATTAATGTGTGTAAGATTGTTAAGCTAAGACCACAATATATTGAAAAGGGACGTACACATTATTTTACTGTAACAAAAAAGTAGCTCTTCTTGACAGAAGAATACTGAATGTGTTTTGATTAGTTCTTTCCCTTCCTTATGTGTTAATGAAGACACATTCCTTGTATCTTCTTCAAGCAACTGGACTAAGTTGGACTATGGTGTGATGCAGCAAGTCTATTCTTATGTTCATATCTTGCTAAAACTTAGAAATTAATTAGTTTTTCAACACTGCCCTTAGTGTCCTGCTCCCTGTAAGTAGAGGGTGGAGAACATGTTTGCATTAGATATAAGCTCTGTTCCGTGCCATGTATTATTTTGCTGATTGTTGTTTTTATTTAAATTTTAATCATATTCTATAAGCGACCTACAGCTACTTTGTGATTGACAAAGTAGTTGATATATATAAATTTATAATTGATAAATGTATAAATCAACAAATAAGGCAACAAATGATAATATGTAAGTTTGGTATACAACCCAAAAGTACATGAAAATATCTTGGGCTGATTCTGTTATGGTTTATGTAAAAAATGATACTATAGAAACACTTGGCAGGCACCTAATCAAGCCATCGGATACTGATTGTCAGTGTGAAATTTCTGTCTTCAGAAAGGTACTCCCAATTACTCTAATCTCCCTCCAAAATCCAATTTGGGGCCAGTTGCTTTTCCTTTTAGCTAGTTGCAGAGTAAAGACTTATGTATAAACTGTGATAATCTCAGGGAATCTCCCTATACAGACACCCCGATTTATTTTCTCTCTTAAGTGTTTATTTTATGAAAACTAAGTTACAGCATGCAATAAGGATTTGCTTGTATCCTTACGATTTATATTGACAATTTCCTAGTATGATTTGATTGCTTATTATACCCTATGACTATCATTAAGTGTTATACCTTATGATTCTTGACTCTTGAATGTATCTTTTCTTTTATGTATCCTGAGAGTACTAAGACAAATTCCTTGTGTGTCCAATCACACTTGGCCAATAAAGAATTCTATTCTATTCTATTCAAAACAATTGCATTAACTCAATTCACCTTAAAATGAACAATATAATTTTTTGATCCAGCCAACCAAGCTACTCACAATTTACCAAGTAAACCATTTGGTTCTTTTCCAGTTGAGTTAAGCACTGATAATTTATTACAGAATTTTTAAAAGAAGAGAGAAAAGAGAACCTAGAATATCCAAGTGTCATTTTGTTATTGCATATACACAGAGATACACAAAGATAAGCAGATGGCAGTATGCTAGGACTGTCATAAAAAGTGGACTGTAATCTAATAAACACGTCTAGACATTTTGAAAGAAATCTGTTACAAAACTACTCATCCAAGTTCCCAACAGCATCACAAGGCTGTCTTCAGTTCTGCTTTGCATGACCTCATGGCAGCTATCAAAACTGTTACTTTAAATATATTGAAAGAAATATGTTCCTGACAATGCAGCAAGTGAATATGCAGATGGTAGAAGGTGGCATAAAAAGTTCAGCAACAAAAGCTCTTTAAAAAGAACAGAAGAAAAAGAGACTTATTAGATATTCAGGCAAGGTGAAAAGAAAAATGATTCTTTTCATATTCTAATTTCCCACTGCTCATTGCTAATTGAGTAACCACTGAGAAAAAAGAATGTATTTAGCAATTCTGCAGGTGTTTTACCTCTGCTATTATCTCAAATACTAGTGCTGGAAGAAAAAATGCACCAAATACATTTTAAACACAAAACATTTCTTTTCACAAAGACCCCATCTTAACATTTAAAGCTATCTTTTTACCTGGTTCATTACAATGTCTGTCCTCTATATCAGGGGTGTCAAACTCACGGTCCGTGGGCCGGATGCATCACGCACTGGCCACGCCCACCCCCAGTTTAGTGAAGGGGGGAAAGTCGCAATACGTCACATGACGACAACTTGATGCCATGAGTTTGACACCTCTGTATTAGATCTTAGCCTACATATGGCATAGGTAGTTTCAACTTTGTGAGAAAGCTATACCATTTTTATAAGTTTTCAGGCTCCTGCCATGGCCATGTTTCTATTGGCACCTAGATTTCTTTTATGAACTTGAGCTTTAATAACCTTTATTAAAGACAAAATGACAAAAAAGTGGTAGGTAAAATACTATTGTTTTAGTTTTTTTCTAATTACTTATTTATTGCCACTTCCATTTGCAATAAAAGGGGAAAGTAACAATCCCTGGTTAAAACAAAAAGTCAAGTCTACAATTTCTTTGTTCCATCAATGAACAGTTTCACCATCCCAGTGGTGAACTTGTTAAAACAATGTCCATGTAAGACAATGGCTGGAGAGGAGAAGGCACTGAATGCAGAAAGCCTCTTTCTCCAATGGAATGAAGCACAAGAAGTGAACTGGACAGGGCTGCTTATGACATAAAAGTCAGAAAATGCTACTTTTGAAGCCTAGTAGAAAAAGACAGGTGAAAATTGCTTTTCTGGTGACTGGAGTAAAAGAGGACATTCCTAGTTTTAAAAAGTGGTTGGTAACTCATACTCACATTAGGGCAAACTGGGATTCTTTTAATTTTCCTTTTAAGTTCATTTTAACTTTGTATAATAAGATGTAGCATTGCCTAAACTGATTATGAAAATACTTCAACCTTATTCTCACCCGATTAATTTTGTAAATTCTTTGATTTATTTGTTCTTAGTATGTAGTATCAGTGTGAATTTCATCAAGATGACATCTCAACTTCTGAAATTATTCTCAAAAGAAGAGTATGAAGTGGCTGATTAATTACAAGTTGTCATGCCCTTATAAAAAGAAGCATCAATGGTAATTCGAATATTCCTTTGAACTGAAATGTGTATAAGTTTAAGATTTTAATATTCATTTTACAGATCAGTGTATCTGTTGATGTTATCAAGAGCTATGTGATGAGAAATGCACCTTGTAAAAACAACTAAAGTGACAAGTTCAGAATTGCAATATAAAGACAACAGTGTTATCTAAATTAGGCAGCAAGAGCTTTGGATTTATCCCCATCCCTGATCTTCTTGTTGGACCCCCTCTCAAATCTTCAATGGTATGTTTGATAGTAATTGTTACACATACACATATATAATGCAGAAATACAAAGAAGAGATGCAACTTAGAAAAAAAATCAGCAACCAGCTGGCATAAATGAATTGGTCACATAGACCATTGACCATTGAATCTATACATATGAGCCATAATGTGGTCACCATTGAACCACGCACATACTATACATAATGCAGGAGAAAATTACTACTTTGGTACTTACATTCATCAAATGGAAGGCAGACGTTCAAAAGATCAAGAAAATTTGCTCCTCTTAATTCTTTGTCATTATCATGTTCCTTTCCGCAGTCACAGAATCCAAGAAAAGCGGTTTTTTGTAATTCTGCATTAATGCCATGCAAACAGATTTCTCTGAGGATATTTGTATATATGTATCCTACTTGCCAGTGCCAACATGACATCTTTTTCTTGTTATTTTTTTCCTATACAAAAAAATGTTAATCAAATAGGAACCAAGATGTGTAAAAAAAGTTCTAAAGTACATATTTACAGTTCTAAAGTACATATTTAGAAACATTACAGAGCATTGGCTACAGCAAGATCAATGCAGATCTTGGAAGAACTCATCTGGGATAGCACAATGATAAACAATTTTTTTCTACACCAAGGTTAACTTGGCACTTACCTGTTTTTGAAGAGGCACAGAGCTTGAAATAAAATATTTCACTAGGTCCATTAAAACTTTCAGACATGACATATTTAATTTGGCACTTTCTCCCAGTACCATCAAGGCCAGTACTGATTCCAACCTAGGTATTTCAAACCAATAAGGGCAAACATTAGTCCACTTTTTTCAAAAGAAAAATACATCATCATTAAAAAATAATGTTAAATTCTCTTGGATTTAGCTGGTACCAAATTATCTTTATGTGTAATTCAGTTGAATGCATAGAATATCCCATACAAAGTATTTTCTTAAGTGTCAGCCATTTTGAGTAGCACTTTTATTAATACATTGTATATATCCATTCATCGATGCATGCTTATACATTACTAATTCAGCAACAATTATAGGTTGAGTAACTGTCTACCAATATGCTAGCACAAAATGCCTATGGTTAAGCACACAGCAAGCACATTTGAGGAAGGGAAGCAGCCACATAGAATATCAAAAGATCACATGTTCAGAATCTAGCAGCAACAGGAAACACCACAGAGATTCCAGCTTTTTTATTTTTATTCAGAAATAGATAAAGAAATAATCATTTTGATTTTTAGCCAGGTCTTATCAAACTAGACTTTTTTCACTTTTCAGTTAATCGTTTTTACATTCTTTTATGTGTGAGTCTCTTGTGCTATGTTCTCTTGGCAAGCATAGTTTAATTTATCACACATTACACATTTTTCCCTTGTGTGGTTCTCAAAAGCATTCTAAGTAAGAAGATCTTTACACAACATGATATCTTTACACAACATGAATACCTCCATCCAGGTGTTTATTTTTATCAGTTTAAGTTAATCAAGCAGAATAGAGCTGGAGGGAACCTTGGAGGTCTTCTAGTCCAACCCCCCACTCAAGCAGGAGACCCTATACTATTTCAGACAAGTGACTGTCTAGTGATGAAGCATCTACAACTTCTGACGGCAAGCTGTTCCATCATGTCACCCTTAGTTCTTTTCTCTAGACTAGCCAAACCCAAATCCTGCAACCATTCTTCATATGTTTTAGTATCCAGGCCTTTAATCATCTTACTTGTTGTTCTTTGCACTTTTATAACAGCGAACAAACTCTAGCCAAGCAAAAATATAGATATGCCCATGATTATAGTGAACTAAGACTATGTAATTCTTCAGACAAAAATCAGGAAAAAAAAGTTTTGAAGCATGTGTGCATGCAAAGTAGCACCTAGGACTCTCAACTCCATCATTTCTTAGAATCACGTGACTATCTTTTCTAGCTGCCTGCCATGTCAACTGGGAAAATATATGAATTGAAGTGTGTACGTGTATTTCCTGATAGGTATTACAATTCTACCACCACCCAAAGCCTCAGAGCACTTTTTGGATCTGTAGAGTTAAACAGATCTATTTAAATTTCACTATAAATTATTAGAAGAAATTATTTAAATGTTAATTGTGAAGAATTGGGAAATAGATAGGCAGTTACCTACAAAACTTCATTATATCAAACATGAAGATAGCTTTATAATCTTCACCGCCCATCATTATTGAATTTTTTGAAAGAACTAGTTTCAATAAATCTGTAAGAATGAGAATGTATTCCTTAGCCAAGGGTGATCCTGCTAGTATACTAGATCAAATACATGCTTAATCAGTCAGTATAACAATAATCCAATATACTACATTTCTTTCACTAACATACAAACCCATTCTCTGTTAACACAGTTTTGTGCTGTGGTGTTTTTGAATTGAATAAGAGATAACATGACAGATGGGAGTGCTTAGGGTTTCTGACAATATTGGAGATCATGGAACAACTTCCGATGCATAGTCCTATAATAACTTAGGAGCATATATTATTGGTGGATGTAATTGTATATGAGAATGATCTTAGGAGAAAAGAGGAAGAGCAGCAAACTGGACAACTGGCATTAAAAGATATGTCGGGCCACAGAAGGTGAAAGGACATGAGAAGCATTTCAGAAAGGACCTGCCCTAGCTTTCAGCAGAATAAAAGGAAAGAAAGAAAGACTTTTAGTCTTGCAAGATTGTGCTAATGTAGCCTTACAGTACAGTTAACACTCATAGTTGTGCTTCTTGTCTGAACTACCTTGAAGGGCTAAACATGGTGGATTACTCATAAATTACAATCTGCAACTTATATCATTCACTTCTTTCTATGCATCTCTAGTTTTCAGCTGATCAATGTATTGTGCTCCATCATCAAAACATTTCTCAGTTTCTTTCAGTTAACTACACTCAAATTAAATTTGAGAAAGTTTAAGCTTCAGTGTAAAGTATCACCTGAGAACATCACCAATATTTGATTTGGCGATTCTATTGGGTTTCTCCTAGTTTCTCTGCAAATATCTCAGTCATGACTCACATTATATGAATATTCCTCAGATTCCTACTACAAAAGGCTACAAAAAATATCAAAGAAATATAATGTGGATTCTATGGATTGTTTCACTTGCCTCTACAATGTAAATTATCTATTTCATTGGTATGATTGTATATGATTTGGATCTGTGCCCTCCATAGAACAAAGACCAGTGTTTCATTTGAGCAACAGCTGTAAACAAAACTCTTAAGGATTGGAGATTAATAGTTGTGGTTGTTGATGAATAACGGAACATAGATTCCCTTCCATTTAAACACTGGTTGAAATGCATATCATCCAAACCAAGCCTTTTTTTCCTGTATCAACAACATGGCATTCACTGTCATATTTCACAGCATATGATGTAACCTAATTGATGCCACATTGTGAGGCATCACAAACCTAAAAAATTATAATATCTGTACTATGTCTTATGGCTTTGCAGCATTTATGATTGCTTGAATAATCTATATGGAATATTGTCTGTATGCTTCCATATGCTTTGTGCACCAGAGATGCAACCAAATAAGTAATAGAATTCATATATGTTCTGTTATGTTTGAAGGCCACCATTTGCCAACCTCTGCAGCACGTCTTGCAGATGAACTACACCATTCCAAATGCAATTATGTCATCTAAATAACTCTAGGTGCCTAAATAATCTTGTAACATTTAGTTCATGGCTCTCTGCCAAAGTGCTGGTATAGATACTGCTCCAAAAACAAGTTTATTATTATAGATAAAATTATGATGAGAAAATAGTTCAGGATATTTCCATTTGTAAATAGCCTTCTGCTAGTTCTAGTTTGTCAACCCAAGTGAGGTTAGCAAAACTATCCTCAGTTCTGACCAAGTGGTACTGCTCAGACTATAATATTGAATTAATCGTTCTCTGGATTATACTGCATATTTTTGTATAAGGGCAGCTTTTGCCTTTAGATCTTCATAAAACTAATATTTCTGTGTAAAATACTTGATCATGTATGATGACAGATGATATCTTAATTCATATTGATCTGATACTGTCTGTTGGTATGCTATTGTAAATTTATATTTGATTTGACTCCTAATTTCAGCTCTACGGTAATTCAGTAGACGTTTCCACAGAGATGGCATTTCATATCTTCTTGTAAATGTTAAATCTGTCCCACTGTGAATCATTTTTCATCTTTTCTTTTAAAATTTCACTATTTTATTTAATTAAACTACAATTAAGCCCAATTTTTTAATGTTTGGAAAGCTCTTTAAGTTCTGGCAGATGTTTGGTTTATGCTTATAAAGTCCTTTACAGTAATAGTGGCTTTGACACTAAACATTCCTGACTTATTTCCACTGTTCTACAAAACTATTGCAAGAGTTTTTATAGAGCAATTAAGCTTTTTCAATAAGCTCTATGCTTTGCTTCCCATAACACTCAGTGAAAGCCACATTTTATTCAGCAACTATCTCATTTGTTCGAGTCTATGTATATATAAATATCAAATCATTTGTGGTACTCTGAAACACATTAATTTCCCCAGTAAAGCTACTCATCTTGCTGAACTCATTGCCCCTTTGTCTTCACTCTCTATGACTGTTTCAGCATCATTGTTATTCTTTTATTTTATTGCCCTTTTTTCCTCCTCCCCCACTCCCCTCCAAATAAGACAAGCCTTAAAAGTGGGGCTGGCCTTTTTTGTTTGTTTGTTTACAATCTCACTTTTTCTATTATCAATCAAGGACCCTTGAGTCTAAGGTGTTTTTTTCTGCTGTTTTTTTTTTAACTGAAACTCTTAACAAGCTTCAGCAACTCTGCAAGTTTTATAATCAAGCAATAATAATAGGCCAGAAGTATGTATAATTAATCAATACTAACAGCTACCAAATCGACTGCACAGTGGTCATTTAGAAAACAGCAAAAAAACATATGAAATAATTGTAACTTGATACTGCTTATAAGGTGTTTTTAGCATTTCCTCTCATATAATAAACATGCTCTGAAAGATGTATTAATCTTGCCATAATATATGGATATCATTCTTTCCTCTGGCTATTTCATATTTAAATAACTAACTTCAATATTCAGCCAATTAGCTAGCCAGTCAAATCAATTTTTATTTTCCTTAAGATGCTTTTATATTTATGATTTTCACAAGCTTATGCTATATTACTGTAATAATTTATAATTTACATGCTTAAAAGATGCAGAATTTTAAAAATTATAGACACTTCATATTCTAAAGTGATCTTTATACAAATTAAGTATGCTTTATCTTCATACTTTTTGTATCTGTATGTAAATTTAATAAAATGATTGCTTTAGACGTAAACAATAACTTCAGATTTCTTTAATTGGGAGGCTGTTAAATATTTTTACAAGTGATTATTGTTATAACTTAGCAGGCAGAAGTAGATCTATCAGCACAGGACTTCAACCAATATCTTACTAATATTATAGGATGGTCATTCAGTGTAGCCACTTTAGGTCAATCTGAATCTTAAATTGTACGCCCTATGGGTTATACAGGGTCATAGTACTCCCCAGTAAATACTGTTGATCTTGGAAAGAGAATTATGAAAGAATACATTACATTTAGGACATTTCAATACCTATATATCAGTATATAAAATCAGAACTTCTAGGCAGAACAAGCAATTCTTTTGCAAACATACAAATGAGAACTACAGATAGTCCTCAGTTAACTACAGCAATTGGTACAGGGATTGCTATTGCTAAGCAACGTAGTTATAAAGTACAACATCATA